CCACATTTTGCAGTGAGGCTCTCAGCTGTCGCTAAATATTAGCACAGTAAGGCTATATATAAATATTCTGTAAGCATAAATGAGATGCAATAGGTAGCAACTTCATTAATTATGTATATTGAAAAGATTCTCAAAAATGTCAACTCGTTTTTAGTTCTGACTGAAGTCCCTGTTAAAAGCTTGAGAAACTAAGAGTTGTATGATTATCCTTTTGCTAGCAAGAGAAGAAACATAATGGTCACAGTTTAGCTATTGATTTTAATATCCGTATCACTTGGGTACTCTGCAGATTATCCCAGTATATGATTTTACCTAGAAGATAAATTCTAGAGAATATGGCTTTTTAAATCAAATAATACATTCATGACAGTATCCATTAACTAAGATAATGATGCCACAAATGGAATCACCTTCAGTTATAACTTAGTGATCAGGACAAAAAATTCCAAGATGAAAAAAATTCAAGGGTTCACTTGGTAAGTATGATTATGGATATAATACTTTATTGTTATTAAGACAACTCGAGAAGGATTATCTAGTTCACCTATCACATGATGGCATGCATGAGGTTCTTTCCTGACTTAATTTTTGTTTGCCAACCACACCATCAAGCATGGCCTTTAGTAAAAAATTAAAAAGCATGAAAAGGGAAACAATAATCTCCATCATCTCAGTGCTTTACATGCAGGGAAAAGGTACTGTGTTTCCCCTGTATAATACACTTAATACACTGGATTACAGGATAAAGGATCAAAATGTCACACTGGAAGAACAAATGCCTGTTTTCCTCTCTTGCTGCCAACACATGCCCAGTCTTGGTTACCAGTTCGTCCAAAACAAATGTCCTGTCACAACTTACCATTTCTGCCAGTCAAATTTTTTTAATGTTAAAAAAAATTAAATATGAGGTCTGTTAACAGGAAATGAACAGAATGAACAATTAGAACTCCTCTGCTACCATCACAGGGAACTGGAAATTAAACCAAGTATATAATGCAGCTAATGAAGTATATGTTCTGGTGGTAAAACAGGCAGTTTTCACTTATTATCACATTAAAACAAGAAAAGAAACAGGGAAAAGTAAATCTAATTAAAAGATCCAGAGAGATCAGATTATATGATTATGTTTAGAAAAGTCTGCATGGGGAAAAAAGATCACTGCCAAATGGTCACTGAGCCAATGACTGACCAGAGGAGATACACCCCCAATAACAAAACTCTACTGCTATTCCTCTAAAATTCCTTCTATTCTACCTTTCTGCTTTCATCTCCTAATCTTCACATTCATACTGCTAAGTTTTCAGAAATATACTGAGGTGGGCCCATAAAGAGCTGCTCAGAGTTCTCCTGGTCAGTAAGCCATGCTTCTCTCACTCTAATGGAAACTTAAAATGAGCATCGAATCTCAAGCAGGCAAAGACTGACTTCAAGACAGCAGCTGGGTAGCTGGGGTATACAGGACAACTCACCTGTCTCTGTGTTTCTTTGGAATTTTGTATAGAATGTAGTACATATATTATCTGTTTGTAAAAATAAACTTTAAAAATAATGGATTGAAACATGATTTACTTCCTCTTCCCAGAGAGCCTTCTCCATACAATAATTCATTATCAAAAGAAAAAATCTGACTCTTGCAGTAACTGCCCTGGTTTACTAGTGTATTAAAACAAAG